GGAGATGGTAGAGAACTTGCCAATAGTCAAAAATGAAATTGGAGAAACGATGTTCCAATGTCAACGGGGAGTTCAAAGTCCTGAGGAAAACCACCTAAACGGAGAGCCAGTTAAAGCCCTCGCTTTTCATCAGGCAGATAACAATGTGCTCCTGGCTGAAAAAAATCACCAAGAAACCGGAATGTGTCCAGGGTGTGGAAAAATATTGAAGGAGGAATCAGGATTGTGTGGAAATTGCAGAAGGCATCCTGTCGAGGCACAACCTGAAAATAGGGAATGGGCCTTTCCTCTTATTTTAAATCAAAATATATTGTTTGGGGGAAAATTATATAAAGGTGTGAAATGTGATGAGACCTTCAGCCAGAGTAGCCATCTCAGTAACCATCAAAAGATTCAGGTCTGCAGGAATCCATATCAATGCATGGATTGTGGGAAGAGCTTCCATCAGAAAAGTCAGCTTATGACTCATGAAAGGATCCACCGAGGAGAGAAACCACATGCCTGCACAGAGTGTGGAAAGAGCTTCATTAGGAGAAGTTACCTGACTTCCCACAGGAGAATCCACAGCGGGGAGAAACCCTATCAATGTACGGAGTGTGGGAAGTGCTTCTCTCAGAGAAGCCACCTTGCCTCCCATAAGAGGATCCACACAGGGGAGAAACCGTATCAGTGCCTGGAGTGCGGAAAGTGCTTCAGAGAAATAAGTCGCCTCACTTCCCATAAAAGGATCCACACCGGAGAGAAGCCCTATAAATGTATGGAGTGTGGGAAGAGTTTTAGTGTGAGCTGTTCCCTGACATCCCATATGAGGATCCACCGAGGAGAGAAACCCTATCAATGCGTGGAGTGTGGGAAGTGCTTCAGTCAGAGCAGTTACCTGAGTTCCCACAGGAGAAGCCACAGAGGGGAGAAACCCTATCCATGTACGGAGTGCGGGAAGTGCTTCTGTCGCAAAAGTGAGCTTACTTGCCATCAGAGGATCCACACAGGGGAGAAACCGTATCAGTGCCTGGAGTGCGGGAAGAGATTCAGTGTTGCAAGTTACCTCACTTCCCATAAAAAGATCCACACCGGAGAGAAGCCATACCAATGTCTGGAGTGCGGGAAGAGTTTTAGGGTAAACAGTTCCCTTACATCCCATAAAAGGACTCACACAGGGGAGAAGCCATACAAATGTACGGACTGTGGAAAGAGCTTCACTGTAAGCAGTTCCCTTAATTCTCATAAAAGGATCCACACAGGGGAGAAACCGTACCACTGTGTGGAATGTGGAAAGAGTTTTAGAAAGAGTAGTTCTGTGACTTCCCATAGAAGGATCCACACAGGAGAAAGCATATGAGTGTACGGACTGTGGAAAGTGTCAACTCATAAAATATTTCTGTAGTCTTTTTAGAGTTGCCAACAGGAGTGGGGAGGAGTGTGGCAGCTTGAAACCGAAATTGCAGTCCATAAATAGTTTTCAAAGATAGTAACTACGTGATTGAAGTTTCTGCCGTGCAAAATTCTAACTGGGGAACATAATTGATGTCTCTTGGCTATGATGTGTCTCATTGGAAAATATGAATTATGATACACTCGGGATGGGTGAAAAGCAGGGTCAAGGGTGACAATGAATGATGTGTTTCAGAGTCGGCTACACTCAGGCAATGCCGGACATGTTAACTCACAATAAATCCTTTTGAAGTTTCGGAAGTTGGGCTCGAGACTCATGATTTAATTGGAGTAACTGCCGCAATCCTGACAGAAAGAACTTCAGAGACCCCAGTTCTGAGGTTATGATCCCCGTACAGAAATCCTCTTTATGGGCCAAGTGCGATTGGACACAAAAGGAATTTGTCTTTTTTCATACAAGGAATGTCATGGAAATGGATTGTGGGCTAAAATGAGCTGGTATGGCTGAAGGAAGGAAGATGAGGAATTATCGCCCCATATCCCTCTATCAGGGAGATGGGTGGTTAAGAAATTGGATGGATGGATGGATAGATATATCTTTCCATTTCATTTTATAAGATTTAAGATGATAAGAAATATGGATGAGCTCAACTAGCAATTCTTGGAAGAGTTACAACTAATTGAGTCTGTCGTTTGTACCTCATTAATTGTCTGGTTTGGCCAGGACAGGTACAGACTTCAGTGGACAGTTAGGACTGCAGAAAAAGCAATCACAACCAGCCTGCCTTCCATTGAGGATCTGTACACTGCATGAACTAGAAAAAGAGCTGAGAAAATACCTGTAGGCTCCTCACAGCCTGGACATAATCAATTTTATCCCCCCCTCTCCAAGGATGCTGCTATAGGGCATTGCATACCAAAACATCCAGACAAAGATAATTTTGTCCTTCCTCCCCCATGCCATCACACTTTATTTCCACAGCACTGTCTTATTTTTCATTTTTTCTCATCTTTCCAATTATCTTCTCCTATTGGTTTCTTAGGATTTTGTCAGTTGTTTGTAACTTATGATTAATGATTGTTACTATGATTTGTGATCTATGACCTATTCATTGCTTTTTATATGTACACTGTGAGCTTACGCACTAGAGACAGTTCTGTTGTACTCTACTCTACTCCCATTCCCATTATCCTGTCCCAGGTGTTGGCAATCTTAAAACACTCAGAGCCACAAAGGTACTAAGCGGAAGCCCCCTGTTCAATTCTGGAGCCAACTGGAAGTCTGGTTTCCCCTTCATAGAAACTACTACTAGTACAGAGTCCTTTTTCCTCTGCTGATTGGAAATCTGGTTCCCCCACCACCATAGAGTCTCTTCCTAGCATGACATCCTTTTTCCTCTACCTGTCCTAACCGAAAGCCCTATCAGTTGTGGAGCCAAGTGGAAAACCCGCCCCTTGCCATAGAGTCTCCTGGCGTGGCGTGCCATGCTTTCCTCTCCCTAACCGGAAGTTCCTCTCAAAATTTTGGCACCAACTGGTGACGGAGCCACAGCAGTGGCATGAAAGAGCCACATGCGACTAGAGCTGCGGGTTGCCGACCTTTGTTCTGTCCTATCCTACCCTACCCTATCATTATTGACAAATACCTATAAACCTGTTCATTACTAGAAAAAGTAGGTGTAGGGAATAAGATGGTGGATCCAAATTACTGTAAGGTCTTGGAAGAGCTATAGGTTATTACAGACAAGTACCCATACATCTGATCACTAGAGGCAGTAAATGGAGGGATAGTAGGACTTGGTACCATCTGTCGTCTCTCAGTATCTTTCTCATCTCTTTCTCACTCATTGCTCTCATCTCTTTCATCTCTCATTGCTATCTTTCTCATCTCTCTCACATCTCTCCTCAGTATCTCTCATCATCGCTCTCTCTGTATCTCATCTCTTTGTCATTGCTCTCATCTCAGTATCTCTCATCTCTTTCTCTCTCATCGCTCGCTCTCATCTCATCTCATCTCTGTATCTCTCTCTCTCATCTGTCTCATCACTTTCATATTTCTCTCTCCCGTCTCACTCTCATCTCTCTCAGCTGGGCCAGCCAGTGTTTTGGGGCAGAGAGGAAGTTGCGCGTCTCCCAGTTGCGCAGCACCAACAAGGGCCAGAAGAAACGCCCGCGAGACCCAACAAGAGATGAAGCTTCACTCCCGCTGTGGAATATGGAGCGAATCTCCATATGGAGCGAATCTCCCTTCTCGGGTGAGGCAAGGAGTGATTGTGAGGGGTCATCCTGCAGCAGGTCCTCCAGCTGGGTGCACAACAGACCACCAAAATTTTCTCACAGACCACCAGTGGTCCACAGAGCACCGCTTGGTGACCTCTGATCTAATCCAGCCCCTGTCCAAGCAGGAGACCTTACACCATTTCTGACAAATGGCAGTCCAATCTCTTACTGAAAGCCTCCAGTGATGAAGCTCCCACACCTTCTGAAGGCAAGCTGTTTCACTGGTTGATTGTTCTCACTGTCAGAAAATTCCTCCTTTTTTCCAGGTTAAATCTCTCCTTGTTCAGTTTCCATCCATTGTTCCTTGTCTGGCCTACAAGTGCTTTAGACAATAGCTTGACCCCTTCCTCTCTGTGGCAGACCCTCAAATATTGGAAGACTGCTATCATGTCTCCCCTGGTCCTTCTCTTTACTAAACTAGCCAAGCCCAGTTCCTGCAACCATCTGTATGTTTTAGTCTCCAGTCCCCTAATCATCCTGGTTGCTCTTTTCTGCCCTTTTGCTAGAATCTCAACATCTTTTTTTATAGTGAGTAGAGTACTGGATGCAGTACTCTAGGTGTGGTCTTACTAAGGCTTTATCGAGTGGTATTAATACCTCAATTGATCTTGATTGTATCCCTCTGTTAATGTAATTTAGGATTTTTGGTTTTTTGGCCTTCTCTGTTTGTATATGCCTTGTATGGTATAGAATCTCAAGACATTCATTTGATTTAGTACTTAGAGCCTTGAAAGCACAGTGGTTAAGAGTGCAATTCTGGTGACAGCCAGTTGCCTGCAATTTGGCAAATTGAACCTCACCAGGCTCACTGGTTGACCCAGCCTTCCATCCTTCCATCTCTTCCATTCCTTCCTGGGTAAAATGAGGAACCAGATTGTTGAGGGCAATAGTCTGACTCTGTAAAAGAGAGAGCTGGTATCCAGCAGGTGGCATTCAGCAGGTTCTGACCAGTTCTGGAGAACCAGTAGTGGAAATTTGGAGTTGTTCGGAGAACTGGCAAATACCACGCTCCGCCCCCATCTATTCCCTGCCTCCTGAGTCCCAGCTGATTGGCTGAATCTTCTTGTGTTGCCCTGCCCAGAACGGAGCTGGAAAGCAGGTTAGCAGGATGGGGAGGGAATGGAGATTTTGCAGTATCCTTCCCCTGCCACGCCCACCAAGCCGTGCCATGCCTACCAAGTCACACCTATAGAATTGGTAGTCAAAAATTTTTGAATCCCACCACTGGGCAGGCTTTATTTATTAATGTAAATCGTGGACTACCTGTACAGGGTGTTATCAGGACAGTCTATAAACCCCCATGTTCTTTCTCTAGCCTGCTAGTTCCTGCCCACACCCACCCCAGGTGATACAGCTGTCAACCATACATAGCTGCCAATCAAACAGCAATATGATCCCTAGTTGCACAGAGGCCTTATTGTGATGGTGGCGCAGTGGTTAGAATGCAGTATTGCACGCTGCCAACTGTCAGCAGTTCGATCCTGACTGGGTCGAGGTTGATTCAGCAACCATCCTTCCATGGTGGGTAAAATGAGGAGCCAGATTGTTGGGGGAAACGTGCTGATTCTGTAAACCGCTTAGAGAGGGCTGTAAAAGCACTATAAAGAAGTATATAAGTCCTAAGTGATATTGCTATAGCTAACATTGAGCAGGCAGGGGAACAGGAAGAGAGACCAGACTGGGACCGGATCCGGTGCTGGCTGGAGTAAATATTTAGCTTACGAATTAAGGGCTGTCCCCTTAAGGGAATGCTTCATGGGAAATGTAGTTTTATGTCACACAGTCACATCTGTATTCCTGATTGGCCACTGGGTTAGTCTTTAGAGGATGGGGGAGTGGAGACAAATTGGCGATGTGCAGGAATGCATTTGTCTGCATGAATTCCAGCACTGAGAGGGAGCTTTCTTCTGCTCCTGCACAATGGGGATATCATTTTTTTGCTCCCAAGCCATAGGCCCGTGATGGTGAACCTATGGCACGTATGCCATAAGTGGCATGCAGAGCCATTTGTGCCAGCATGCAAGCTGCAGACAAACTTACCTCACTGCACATGCACGTGCATCACAGCTGATTTTTTGAGTTGGTTTGAGGCCTTTTTTGGCCTCCCAGAGGCTTGCAGAAAGCCTCTGCAAGGCTTTTCAGGACGATAGGCCCGTTTCGTCACTTCCTGTAATACCAGAAGTGACAAAATGGGCCTATAATTCGTCCTGAAAAGCCTTGCAGAGGCTTTTTCCAAGCCTCTGGGAGGCCGAAGGCCACAAACCAGCAGAAAAATCAGTTGTGAATCACAGTGCAGATAAGGAGGTGGGGATTGCACACACATGTGCAGGGGGCGTGGGGGGCACGGATTACATTCTGGGTGCTGGCATGTGAGTGCGTGAGCGCTCACCTGGCGCACGTACAAAAGTTGTCCAGTTGATCTGTGTCTTACAACCACGATGGAATTTCCTCCATTGCAGGAGAATGGCAAAGAAGAAAACTAAATATGCAAGAGAACTGGTAGAGCTGTCGAACCTCAATATTTCTTTAATAAATAGGAGGTAGTATATATATATACATTTTTGCAACCCTAGGTTCTAAGTAAATTCTAAACAGGAGAGCCAATATGTAGATAAATGCAAATTAAGTACTCTTTTTGGAGAGATCAAGTGACCCAGAGGCCAACAATGAAAGAGAAAGAATTGGAAGTCTCCTGTTTGACCATGAAGCTGGACTAGAAGACCTTCAAGGTCCCTTCCAACTCTACTACTCAGTGACGTTGAAATTAAGAAAATCAGACCTGGTAGGTGGAGATGTGCAAATTCAGTATTCCTATGCAAGGAAAGACTAAAGTGCCAAGTCCTACTAATCGTCCCTCCATCTACTGCCTCTAGTGATTGGATGTATAGCTACTTGTCTCTAATAACCTGTATCTCTTCCAAGAGCTTACAGTAATTTTGATCCTGTCCACCATCTTATTCCCTACATCTATCTACTTCCTCTAGCAATGAACAAGTTTATAGGTATTTGTCAATAATGATAAGGTTGGGTAGGATAGGACAGGACAGAATAAAGGTAGGCAACCCGCAGCTCTGGAG